GAAGGTAGTGGTCACCTAGTTCTGTTGTTTGGCTTGACCAGTGGTCACCGAGTTCTGTAGTTTGGCTTGACCAGTGGTCACCTAGTTCTGTAGTTTGGCTTGACCAGAAGGTAGTGGTCACCGAGTTCTGTAGTTTGGTTTGACCAGTGGTCACCTAGTTCTGTAGTTTGGTTTGACCAGAAGGTAGTGGTCACTACTTAGTTCTGTAGTTTGGCTTGACCAGCGGTCAGTTTTCAGTCGGAGCTGAGCTCCCCGGAGTCGTCGAGGTCACTGGAGTCCACCTCTGGGAGCGGGTGGAGCACGGAGCTGTTGACCTGTGTTGGTGTGTGGAGCACGGAGCTGTTGTCCTGTGTTGCTGTGTGGAGCACGGAGCTGTTGACCTGTGTTGGTGTGTGCAGCCTGGAGCTGTTGTCCTGTGTTGGTGTGTGTAGCCCGGAGCTGTTGTCCTGTGTTGGTGTGTGGAGCACGGAGCTGTTGACCTGTGTTGGTGTGTGGAGCACGGCGGTGTCAGACTGTGTGGGCGTGTGTACCTCGCTGTCGTTGCTGTCCGGGATGTTGCTGTCCACCTGTGTGGGTGTACGTAGCACGGACGTGTGTAGCTCGCGGCTGTTGCAGACGTTACTGTCGCTCTGTGTGGGTGTACGTAGCAAGGCGGTGTTGACCTCTGGGATCTGTGTCTGCCGGATGTAGCTGTCAGCGAGGGGGTAGGAGAACTCCTCCGTCCTGGAGGTGGGCGTGTCCGGGGAGACAGGCGCGCTGTGGAGGGACGGGGAGGAGGAGGACTTGCCTCTCATGACGTCATTGTTGTTCTGTGACGTCAGAGGCTTGGTGCTCTCGCCGCTGTCCTTCCGGAACAGATGATGATGGCGACGACGGCGCTGGTGGTGATTCTGCTGCTGTTGCTGCTGTTGGTGACGGGACGAGTGGCGGTGGTTGTTGGTAGGCGTGTGGTGGTTCCGGAGACGACTGCTGAGTGGGCCTTGCTCTGGGTCTGGAACCCCGTCCCTGTAGAAGTCGTTGATGCTGGCGAGGCTTCGCTCACGTGACATGTCGCGGTGCAGCTCGATGTAGACTTTGCTGCCGTTCCTGTACGCCGTCTGCTTGTACATGGAGGTGGCGGGAGGTTTACGGAGCGTGCTGAAGCGGCGGTTGTAGGCGGAGTCACAGGTGGACATGCTGAACTGTCGGGTCGCCAGCTTCTTGAGACACAGACAGAAGGGGAACCAGCGGTAGCACAAGGCGGCCAGATCAGCCTGGGGGAGAGAGGTGAACACAGCATTGGTACGTGAGGTGGAAGGGGGTGATGGGGTGGGGGTGAGCC